TCCCCTTCTTGAGCAAGCAGCAGAGCTGGATTTGAACCCAGCAGCATACCCCACAGCCCAGTTCTAGAAGATGAAGCATGAACTCAGTTAACTTTGTGAGCTGAGTTGTGGCCTGGGGGTGCCGGGGTGGGGTGAGGCTGAACAGGCAACTGTGGTGAGCTGGGTGGACTGTGTCTCCAGGAAGCCTGGCTTACACAGGCAGCTTTTCAGACAGGCGTTGGTCTAGGTTGGGTCAGCTGGTGGCCCGCCCTTTGGTCCTGCCAGGGTGAGGGTGACCTCTAGCTGGAGTGACTTGGCCAAACTATTGTCTGCAGCTTTGCAGGAAGCCATTTGAAAGGGTCATTGAAAAACGATCTTTCTAAATCAAGCTGTACCAATATTTTTATTTCCTTCCATGCAATGCCATGTTTAAAGGATTAGATGAGCCTGTTTTTAAAGCCTGGGAAACAAGTCCCTGTGACTTAAGTTCAGAAAAACAAAAAAGGTCCCACTCTCAAAGCAAAGAGCACACAGGCTGCATGACGTGCATCCTTCTCAAAGTAAGTCCTTGCTCTTGGGACCTGATGGAAATGTGACAAAAAAAGCACATCTTAATCCAAAACACTTTCTCTGAGAGAGGTTACGTGCCTGATATTTATATCTATTAGATGCCCTGCTCACAGTTCTAACAATTTTTTTGAAATAAGAAACTGACAGAGAAACTTAGGTTGCTAATTGCTTGGTTTATGACTTATTTTTTCAGTAAATCACTGTCACTAGTTTGGGAACTTGCTCTGTGCCATGTTGGTGGAGAAGAGAAATCCAGAGATTTGACCTGCTAGGTGTTCCAAGCCTTCTCCCCAATCTACTGCCCCTAAGTTAAGACACACAGTAAGAGGTAAAAAACCAGAGCCCTACTGGCCTATGTCCTGGGCTCACCGGTCATATGTTCACCATTTACGTCTTCCCAGAAAGCCTGCTTTGATGGTGAGTAGAACAGATGAAACACAAAAGCCCTCAAACCCAATAAGGACCACAAGGGTAAAGAAGCTGAAAAGAAACTGAGGTTGGTGGGTAACTAGCCCAGTAGATCCCTTGCAAGGGGCAGCTGAGCTGGAGTCACCCCCAGCTGTGCACCCTCAGAGCCAGTTCTAGAAGTTCATGCTCTGAACTCAGTTGACTTGGGATTAATGGCTGAGTCATGGCCTAGAACATGGGGGGATTGGGGGTTTGGGCAGGACAGGCAATAGGTATGAGATAGGTGGCCTGTGCCCCCAACAAGCGTGGATCACACAGGCAGCTTTTCAAGTAGGTGTCAATCTCAGAAAAACCTAGAAGACAAGAGTACAAAAAGCCCAAATATCCCCTTTGTCATGTGAGCAAGGATCATATAAAATAAAGCCCCAGAGTTTGAATGGAAGGGAACCATAGAAAAGGGTCTTATAGATGAGGAAAGGGGGCCTGAGCCTCAGAAGAATGTCCTCTGCCAGGTCCCACTGCCAAACAGAGGTGAGGCTGGGAGTAAACTGGCTCTGGGTTCTGTACAAAGCAGGAAAACCTCAGCGCTTCTAAAAATGGAAAAGCTCTCCTCCGAGAACCACCAGGGAAAGTGCAACTCAGGCACGCGGCTGGGGGCAGCCAAAATACTAAGATCACAGTAATGCCTGATAGCAGTGAGAAAAACTACTCTCTGTGAGACCTCCAAACACTGCTGCTTCTTTTTAGTGTTTGATATTATGTCTTCTCTCATTTAAATCCTTTACTGTTCAGATCTAACCTACTCATGCCTATGAGGGAAAGGACCCCTTCAGAATCGCTCCCATCTTACAAGAGGGAGACCTCCACACTCCTGACTGTTGGGTCTAGAACTGTCCAGTTCCATCATTATAGGGTCTCTGGAGTTTAGTAACTACACAACCCAAAAGTGGGTTGCCATTTGACACCCAGCTACAAGACAAAGAGGTCTGAGGTCTGCAGGCTGTGTGTGTTGGGGCCTTCTTGCAGGCTTTACCTGCTAAATTAAATAAAGACTATGTTCCTAGTGAAAAGAAGCATCAGGCAAGTCAAAGATTAAAAACAAACAAACAAAAAACAAGATTCTTAGAATTAGAATGATGGTGTCTACCTCTATTTTGATGCCATAAAAAGGGAGCTTAATTGACCATAAAGAAAAAAAAAATTGACTTCTGGGCTCTGACTATTATAAACTAGTAAACAGTCATGATGTTGATAATCAATGATCCTGCAGCAATGTTCTTGGACTTCAGTGCACGCAAGTCACCTGAAGTCTTTTTAGAATGTGGTCTGATTCTGGGGATCTAGGATGGGAGCTGAGATTCTGCATTTCTAACAGGTTTCCAACGCTGCTGGTCTGTGGGCCACACTTTGAGTAGCAGAACTCTGTAGTTTAAAAAAAAAAAAACTTCTCAGTGGAAGGGAATCTGTCAGTGATGAGGCTCTCAGGGAACATATCTTATTTCAGCATATTAACTGGCCCAATCTTACTGCAAAAAATAGTACGATTGCAGGCAATATATCATGTGTTACCCCAAATGCAACTGGCCACCAAACTCGTGATGCCTGGTTGCTTCTGGACTTTTCTAGAAATGTTTTCTACTGGCACACTGAAATATCAACAAATGCCTACTGCATGAAAGAATAAATGAACCAATGCACAGAGGGGAAAGAAGGAAACTGAGTGCACCTGGCTCTCAGTTTGCCCCTGTGCACATTAAGATCAGCTTTCTGCTGCTCATCTACTGAGATGAGAAACAACACAAACTCATCATCAGACTTGTTGAGAAGAAGAAGACAGGAGGCAGAAGAAGAGGGGGAGGAGGAAGAGTATGTACGGCAGCTAACTTTTGGGGATCACTGAGTGCTGGGTACAGGGCTTAAGATCTTCACATGGACTATCCAATTAACCCTCTCAAAACCTCTGTGAATTGGGGATTATGATTTCCATTTTTTCTGACTGGGAATCTAAGGCTCAGAGAGGATAAATAACCCAAGATAACCCATCCATTACGGAGGCAGGCTTTGGTCCCAAGCCATGGTAGCCTCTACAAGGAATTCTCAGGGTAATATACCTGGCTCCTCTGCCAACCACAGAAATCTGGCCCCATTTCACTGTTAGATTGTGTATGCAGTTAGTCACCATGGCTTGGCTATGTGGCCTCTCTACACTGACAGTAACACAACTCAAAAGCCTAAGTTATATTTTTGGTATGTGTATTTTTATTATACTGCTAAACTTAGCACTTGGGCTCCACAGTTACCAGGTTTTTGGATTTTATTTATTTATTTTGAGGAATAACACAAATAACTGTAGTGACCATAATGAAGAAAAAAAAGGGGGGGGTGGAGGAGAAGAGTCAACTCGAAAAGTTTCAAGAACATACCTAAAACTTTCATATACCCCTTCGCCCTGAAAGCTCCATTGTTTACAATTTGTCTCATTTGCTTTATTATTATGCTGATCTTTCTCTTAAATAGATCACTATTTTTTTTTCAGAATTTTTTTTGAGAACAAGTTTTAAACTTCATATTCCTTTATTCCTAAATACATCAGCTATCATTCTCAAGGACAAAACCAATCCCTTATATGATCACAAGCAAATTATCAAATTAAGGAGAAGTTGGCATTGATATAATACCTTTGTCTAATCTACTGTCTATATCCAGTGCTATTGTTTGGCTAATAGCTTTTATAGCCAGGCCTAGTGTGGTTTAATGGCTGAATGCATATTAAGAATTAATACAAGTAATTAAGAATTAATATGAGTAGAGTGCTTTTAGTATTTAGAAAGCCCTTTCACTACATTAACTCATTTAGTCCTCCTCTCGCCTCTCTGAGGCTAGACAGCAACACTATCCCAGTTTGACCCAGGTTGGAAACGAGGCTGAGGGGATATTAAATACAACACCAGAGCTCAGACCCTTCCCTCCCCCTCAGCACTGCTTGGTGCTTATTTTAAAGAAATTATTCACTTTAGTGCTAACAGACTGGCCACTGATCTAAACCATTTTTAAATTCCCCAAAATAAAATCATATTGTTTGGGTACTTATCTCTCGAACCATTTGCTTTTATGTGAGCATAACTATTCCAATTAATACCAATAGTTATGCCTACAGGAAGAGTCCTGAGCTACCCCAGGTGAGTAGGTATAAGTTGCAGCCCAAGGTGTGGCAATGTGGGGGCCTGTCCTCCCCAGCACCTGCCCCGCCTGCTTTGCATAGTCTCCCCAACTCTCATGCAGAACTTGAACCCACAACTAGGAAAGGGTCTTGTTTTGGACTTGACCTGAACATAGAAAACAGAGACACACTGGATGTCTCTTCAGGGGACAGTGAAACATCAATTTGGGGGTGGGTTAATCCACTTTCAGGTATATTCCCCAAGGGTTGAGAGCAGGCACCTGAAAAGATATCTATACCCCAATGTTCATGGCAATAGTATTGTTTCCCAATCCTCAGAGATAGCCTAAAATTTAGGGATACAAACTTATAAACTTGCCTGCTAAATAGAAAAGCACTGGTTTGGGAAATGAAACTACGGGATTCAAATCATTACTTTTCCATTTAGTTCATTTGCTTTGGGCAAGTTACTGAACATTGCCAGGCCTCAATTCCATCAGCCACATACCCAGATGAGAGAAAATGCTAAGCAGAGCGGCAGGAAGGGATGAGCTCAGAACCTGGCTGGTGGGAGACCTCTGGCTCATGGTGCTGTGAACCCCAGAAGGCCTTTCCATAGTGTGGCCCACCCTGTTGCAAGCCAAACCCCTGCCTTCACACAACCCTGGAGAAACCAGCAAGGCTGCATCGGCAAGGGTGAACAAAGTATGAGCAATGTGGAGAGTTCTGGTTACAGTTGTGTACACCTCACTATCCAGAATACAAAATAAAGGACCACCTTTGCCATAAGTGCTGTCTCTGGTGACTGGGAGCAGGCAGACTTTTCCCCATGTGTGGCACTCTGCAGTTTGTGAAGATGGGGCAGGAAGAACAAAATATTTACCTTTTCCAGGGCCTCTTTGTCAAGTAGTTCTTGCACAGCTAGAAGCTTGATGCTGTAAGAAAAAAAAAATCAAAACCACACTTGAAAACAAATCATGTTATATCACCAAGCATCATCACACAAGTTGCGAGAACAGAAGTGTGGAATTTCAGCCTGCATTTTTGTCACCTCTCATCTTACAGTGACCTTTAGTTTAAATTAAAACCACTACTCCAAAAATAGTAAAAAATGCTTCTAAATTTTACAGGTAATTTTTACTAAATCATCCAGCAATTCTACTTTCAGATATTCCCCAAGAGTTGAAAGCAAGCACTTGAAAATATATTTGCACACCAATGTTCATGGCAGCAGTATTCAGAATAACCAAAAGGTAGAAGCAGCTCCAACATCCTTCAACAGATAACAAAATGTGGTGTATTCATTCAATGGAATCGGTAATTCAACCTTAAAAAGGAAGGAAATTCTAAATACCTGCTACAACATAGAAGAACACTGAAGATATTATGCTAAGTGAAACATGCCAGTCACAAAAATATAGACGATGCATGATTCCACTTACATGAGGGACCCAGAGTGGTCAAGCTGATAGAGGCAGAAATGAGAATGGGACCATCTGGGGAATAGGGAGTTACTATGTAATGTGAATGGAATTTCAGTTTGGGATGAGCAAGTGCAGGAGACAGAGGGTGGTGGTGGCTACACACAGTGTGAATGTGCTAACGCTACTGAACCATACGCTGAAAAATGGAAAATTTGATGTTATATACATTTCTCCACAAAACATTCTAAAAGTAACTTTAGCTGCTTCATGCAAGGAATTTGAATAAATTTAGATGATTATGAAGAAGAAAACAGCTACCCATATTCAGTACCCATTTTCACTTGGTGTGCCTTTGATGATAATGAGAAAATAGATAAAATCACTACATACAAAGAGGACCTGCTCAGCAACTCAGCAACACTGCTGGAGCCGTACTGTGTATAGTGGCTGAGCATGGACGATGGTTTTCTGACATGCCCCTGCCTGCAAGGCGCTCACAGCCTCTTTGAAGCTACAGTCAAATCAGGATATGATGTGTGGTGTGTCAGGTGTGTGCACAGATGCACAGAGGAGCCTGGACCCATAGAGGTTGGAGGAGTTGAAAGAGGTGAAAGCAAGCACTTGAAAAGGACAAACCAAAACGGCTTTGCCTGGGGAGGGAGCTGGGTTGAAGGCTGTCCACAGAGGGATCTACCAAGTCATTCAGGGGAGAGAGACAACTTGTCAGTTCCCAAGCTAGGGGCCTAAGCCTAGACTGCAGCCAGCAGTTGGAAAGAAAGAATTCAGAGGTGGATTTTATAGGGAAGGTATATTCCTTTTTTTGGACATGCTGCTTTGAAGGGTTCATGTATCCAATGAGCAAATGGCTAAGGCTGCAGGGAAGGGCTGCACTAGCCTCAGCACACAGGTAGAAGCACAAGTGTTCAAGGAGATTTTCTAAGGAGTAGGTCAGTTGCTGATGGTGATGTGGCTCCTTCTCCACCTGGCTAATGTGCTGGGGTGACTGGTCACTGTAGCCCGCACTCTCACCACCTGCACAGGCTCTGAAGAGCAGAGATATTCTCCACCTGTTCCATTTGGCTCCCTCCACAGGGTTATGCCATTGGAAGGTTCACCTTGACTTCCAGAATTCTTCACCCTCTCTTTGGACAACTAAGCAAGTGCATCTAATCAAATGCACTGGGTTATTTGAAAGCAGCTCCAGGAAGTGCAATAAATGTTCTCAAGGCTTATAAGAAGCCACTACCAACAACCAAGATTTAGCGAACATCAGGGGTAATGGACGGGTCTCAGGGCATTCCCTTACTCCAACCACACCAGCTTTCCTTCTTTCCACTGGACAGGTTTGGTTTCATTGTTTCTCTGGCTTGGAAGGGCCTTCCCCAAGAGCTTTATAACACAAACTCCATCTCAGGATCTCATTCTAGATGAAATGTGAATGCCGTCTCCTCCAGGGAGCCTTCCTGAATTCCCAAGGTAAAGAGTATCCTGTTCACATTGTATTTTTCTGGGTCTACTTACTGGTATCTTTGCAGTATTTATTTGTTGGGATGCTTTTGTCTGTCTCCTCTCAAGTGTAAAAGCTCCTAGTGGATGGGGCTCAGACATTCATTTTTTTGGTACCAGGGACTGAACCCAGGGGTAGTTAACCACTGAGCAACATCCCAGTCCTTTTTTGTATTTTATTTAGAGACAGGATCTCACTGAGTTGCTTAAGGCCTCATTAAGTTACTGAGACTGGCTTGAACTCACGATCCTCCCACCTCTGCCTCCCGAGCCATTGGGATTACAGGTGTGCACCACTGCGCCTGGCTTAGACATTCTTAAACACATAATTACCTCTGCAGTGCCTATAACCGGCACATGGAGAGCAGCTCAAGGACTGTTAACTGACTGATGGGGCCCAGAGGCCTAAGGGCCAAATTGCTTTCAGAGCTCCCATATTCCAGCTCAGACATTTCCAGGGTGGGTAAAAAACACAGACTACACTTTGGTTTCTCTGACAAAGAATGCTTCAAATAAGATGACTGGATGGATTCATCCTTGGAAAAGCCGCTATGTGCAGTTGCATGACAGTCATTAATGAAATATGCCTAGCGGCAGGTCAAAGCCATTGGCCACTCCCCAGCACATTCTGATTCCCAATATACAAATCTAAGATTCCAAGTTAGCAATTTGGATGGCAACTTAGATGCTAAGTTGGGAGTATCTAGTTGAGCTCAAGTTTCAGAAGCTTAAAATGCCTCTGAAATAACCACTGGAAAATACTGACAGTGGAAGGACTTTCAAAACAGTCTCTTATTCCTGCCCGTTCTACAGTCATGAGGTCTGATTTAGTATCAGATATCAACAGGCTTGGGCTGGGTTGTGGCTCAGTGGTAGAGTGCTCGGCTAGGATGTGCAAGGCCCTGCAAGGCCCTGGGTTCGATCCTCAGACCCCCATAAAATTAAAAAAAAAAAAAAAAAAAAGATATCAACAGGCTTGAGAAAAGGTTGAGGGTTGAGGTACTGTTCAGCTTTTTAACTCTCCAGCCACTGTAGAACATGATCTGAAAGCCAATGTTTTCTGAATGAAAATGAAATTGACTTTTTTTTTTTTTTTTGGTATCAGGGATTGAACCCAGGGGTGCTACATCCCCAGCCCATTTTTTTTTTTGTATTTTATTTAGAGACAATCTCACTGAGTTGCTTAGAGCCTTCCTAAGTTGCTGAGGCTGGCTTTGAACTCGCCATCCTCCTATTTCAACCTCCCAAGCTGCTAGCTGACTCATTTAGGTAAAAAGATGAAAGCTACCACCCCGTGCTCTCCTCATTCTACTGGGCTCTAGAACAGAGATGGCAAACACTTGGCATGTACACTGTGACTCTCCAGCCCTTTCCACCTCTTCCCATGGAAATTTCCCACACTGTACTTAAATTCAACTTCAGAACACTTCTCAATTCAACTCCAGGGAGCTAAAACTAATCTACTGAAAATGGCACGTGAGCTAAACCTCATTTAACATCTCCAAAAATTGACACTAAATAGTATTAATGTAAGGGAGTAAGGGAAGGTGGAAAAAATAGAAATATTAGAACTTAGATGGGACAGCATTAGGGGCAAGAGAGACAGAATATAAGATGCTCAATTCTAATAGTTTGAGTTTCAAAACAGGAACCATTGTGTTAATAAGAGCAGCTGCTACTGCTGCTCATTTCCTTGGGTCTCTTCAGCATGTTGTGCCTCTTCCTCCTGAGAGATGCAGCCCTTAGAGCATTCTCAAATGTCCTGTTATGTAACTATCCTAATGTTATTTCCAACCTTACTGGACACTCTTCAAATTTGGGATACTTATTTCAGTTATCAGATTCTTCTAGCACATCAGGTACTCTCTGGGAAGAAATTTCATACGTATAAAGAAGCACCAACCTATTTACCAAATCTTCTATTTGACATTATCTAACTTCTTGCCCTGGAAGAGAATGATATCTCACTTTCAGTTCTGTCCCTCCCTAATTTCCCTTCCTCCTTCTGCTAATTTCACAAACATATATTGAATACCTCTTTACAGTTTAGAAGCTGTGCCATTCATCATCTCTGCCCTCAAAGAGCTGAGAGGAGCTACAGTGTTGCTTGGGTACCAGGCAGGAGTGAGACAGTGTTGGGGTTTTTAGCCCCCCCCCCTTCCCTCCTGACCTGTGAGAGAGATTGGGGGAGCATGCCCCAACCAGGATGGGCGAAGAAAGGTAAAGGTCGCCTGGCCGCCCACACCCAGCCCTCCCTGGAGGAGGACAATCAGACGCGCCAGGGAGAATAGTCAAAGCAGGATCTCGTTTATTGAGAAAAAACAAAGAGCTAATATAATGTACAGGAACCAATCAGAGTAAGGTTAGCAGGGTGGGGAGAATTTACATCTATACCTATCCTACAGGCAGTAATGGGAGACGCGCGCTATCTGAGCTGTCCATGAGGGCAGAAGGGTTCTGAGCCTATCCTAGAGGTGGTCCGATTCTTCATCACAACCCATGGCAATGCCTTCTGGCTAATCGCTAGGTGCTCTCTTAGCCACATGTGGCCCCAGGACTGGGAAGCGGGTAGGTAGCAGCCAGCAAGTTAAATTTCCTCTTTTCTGATGCAACATGTCCCAAGTTACATCATGCCCTACAAGACAGGGGATATGTGTCTTGCTGAGAATCTCCTAGGTTCCAACATAGACCAGTGGGGATATGTTTGTTGGTGGCATGGTGCTTGGTCAGCATCTTCTGAAAGCAGCAGAGCCCCATCAGATGAAAGCTGCAATAAACTGCAATTTCTTTTTCTGCATGCCACTTTGAGAAGAGAGGCAAATCGTACAAAAGCAGCTGATAGCAGTGATGTATTTAGAAAAAGAAACAACTTCAAGGGCAAGTTCTGAAGTTAAGATGGACAGCACCCAGAAACACACAGAATGCGTGCAATTGGTTTGCTAACAAACTTTCAAGAAGGCAAGGTGCTTGAGGGCAGATGTCTTGTTTAGTAGTGTAGTATCTGG